AGTCTCTAAACTTTCATAGTCTCCCAGGCTCAGAATAGTGTTGAGTTCACTTCAGTTCTGCTATTGGATACTCAGGACTGTCTTTTGAACTTCTTGCAGTATGCCTACAGAAAGGTGCACATAATGTATAGCATGGAGACATTTCACAAACTGTACAGCCTGTTCAACCAGAATTCAGAGGCAGAAGCAAAACCTACGACACCTAAAGCTCCTTTTATGCTTCTTTAGTGCCCCACTCCAGAGTGACTGTGTTTCCGACTTCTAGCATTAATTGGTTTGCCTGCTCTGAAAACCTTGTATACATGGAATAGTATGCTCTTCTATACATAAACATATACATGGAGTTTATACTCGATTATCTTACTTTTTTCCAGTATTATGTTCTGAGGTTCTGTCATATTTTTGTGGTGATAGTTTATTTATTGCTATTACTGCATAAAACTATGTATATATTTATTCATTCTGTTGTTGATAGACATGCATGTAGTTTTCAGTTTCTGGCTACTGTGAAGAGTACTGCTGAGACTATTTTCATTCATGCATATCTGTGGTTTGCACACACACCTACACATACGCCTGCACATATACACTTGTCACGGGCGTATATATCTTGTAGTAGAGCTGGTGGTAATCAGGGTTAGTTATATCAGTTTTCGTGAATACTGTCATGGGTTGTCAAAGTGGTTTCAATATATTCTTCTAGGAGCAACATATGAGAATTCATGTTACTTAAATACTTGTCAGCTTTTGAATTTTTTGTCTCCCCTCTTTGCCTTCCATAAATTAGTGAAAAGTACATAGTATTTTTAATTTTAATTTCTCTGAAGATTGATGAAGTTGAAAGCCTTGACATGTGGCCATTTCATTATCTCTCTTTTTAAAAATTGAATCAAGAATTTCATACAATGTGGTTTGCTTATGTTCTGACCTCCTCCCCCATCTGTGCCCTCACCTTTCCATCCCCCTCCCCAACATCATGACCTCTCTTAGCATATGAAAAACCCCATCCATTTTATGCAGCACATCTGAACTAGGTGCCAAAGAAGTCATATCTCATTAGAACGGCAGTGATCTCTAATCTTACAGATGGGTAAGGGCCCATTCCCGTTTCTTTATATGTGGTTTGGGGTCAGAATACTCCCAGATTTCTTGGAATGGAGTTTCCACATTTGTTTTCTGTTTCTCTTATGCATTGCTTACGATTGTCAAATAGTGATTTCTCTTTTCATCAGTGATCAGAAACGCTTGGGATTCTTCATCAAAGTCAGTTGTCCACAGCCTGAGTATATGCAGTTACATTTTGGCTGTTTCCAGGCCTCAGTGCACTCACCCCATTGTGGTCCAAGGTGTTCTCCAACAGTTTGATTTCCCCAGAGGGTTTTACTATGAGTTAAAGCAGAAGCTAGGTCCTCACAGCAGGCAGCAGTTGACCCCTGGACCTCCAATCCAAGATTCTCTGTTTGGCAATTGGGATGTTTCGTAGCTTCACATAACAGCTTTGCACCAGTGTCCTCTAGCTTGTTTTCTGAGATCTGTAGGTTTCTCAGGTTCTTACTGCTGTTATAGATTGTAGCTGGGCCTTGACAGCTGCTGGGTGATGATGATGGTGATAAAGATGACCATGGATACACTGTGCAGTGGCTGCTCATAGGCCCAGCTCCCAGCAGGAGAGATGCACTAGGGTGCAGCACAGTGGGTGGTTATAGCTCCCTCGTGGTTGTGGCTGCTGCCTGGCCCCATCACCCAAACCCAGCAGCTCTTGGGGCCCAGTATTCTGATGTGCCTTGTGTGGGTGGGTGGCTGGTCATCTCTTTTGTGAATGACCTTTTTGTGTCTGTAGCCCACTTAATTCAGCTTTTTTCTAAAGAAAGTGATTTGTGGGAGTTCTTTATATAAGATGCATGTATTGGAGTCTTTTCATTCTGTATTTTTTTTTTTACTCCACTAATGATTTCTTTTGATGCATCGAGTTAATGTAGTTTAGATATTGAACTTTTTTCCATTGTGATTAGTCATTTGTGTTTCTTGTTTAATAAAATGTTGCCAGTCCTGAGGCCATGGTGACAGCATCCTATTTCGTTCCACATTATTCATTGTTCAACCTTTCACGTTTAGATTTGTCATTCATCTGGATTTTTTCTGTATGTATTAATGTGAGGAATGAGCCAGTCCCATTTACTGAAAAGAATATTCTTGGTTGTGGTATCACTTTTGTTACAGATCAGAGGTTTGTATGTGTGAAGCTTTCTTAAAGGTTTATTTACTTTTTTGTTTTTTGTGTATGAGTATTTTGCTTGCATGTATATAAATGCATTGTGTGCATGCAGTGTCCATAAAGGCCAAAAGAGGGTATCAGATTCCCTGGAACTGGAGTTATAGATGGTTGTGAACCTCCATGTGAGTGCTGGGAATGAAACCTAGAATCTCTGTAAGAGCAGCCAGTGCTCTTAACCACTGAGCCATCTTTCTAGCCACTGATGATTGAAACTTTTTTTTATTTTTTGGTCTTTTTGTGATGGGGTCTCCCTGTAGCCCCAGCTGGCCTGGAACTCACTATGTAGACCAGACTGACCTTGAACTCACAGAGATCTGCCTGTCTCTGCCTCCCAAGTGCCGGGACCAAAGGTGTGTGCCACTGCATCCGGCTGATTGAAACTTTATAGTAGTTCTTAAGTCTGGGAATGTAGCTCAGTAGTAGAACACTTGTCTAGCAGGTGTGAGGCCTTGGGTTGCATCCCCAATACCACAAAAAAAAAAAAAAAAAAAAAAAAAAAAAGAAAGTGAGGAAGGAAGGACAGGCAGGAGAGGAAGTAGGAAGCAGAAACAGGAGGGTTCATGAGGAGTTCAAGGTCATTCTTGGCTACATAGGGTATTAGAGGCCAGCCTGGGCTACTGTGAGATCCTGTCTCAAGAAAACTAGTAAGTAAATAATAGGCCTAGATATTTAGTGGTATCAAATGTTCCAGCTTTGTTGCTGCCTCTGAGATTACCTTACTTATTCTTTACCTTTTGCCAGACAAGTTTCAGAAACACATACATAGACACACACCACACACACAAACACACACCTACACAGCACACACACACACACACAAATACACACATCAGCTAAATTTGGTAAGATTGTGTAGATTTTATACATCTGTGAGGGGAAAATTGATATCTTTACTGTGTGGCAGTAGTTTTAAATTTAGTCTTGACATACTTGATTCTTTTATTTCCTTCCCTTCCTGTTATCCTGTAAGCCTGGCTTTACTCAGTTGATCTGTTTTCTTTAATTATATCCCAGTCTACTAAATGAAATTAAACAAGGCTTTGATAGACTCTCTTGCTTAAGACCTTTGTGCTGTAGTTCTTGTTTCCAAATTAAATCCTTTTCCTACAGCAATTGCTACAGCCTTTTACAGCTCTCAAGTAACATGCCATCTTGCCAAGTACTAACCCATTTTTAGCAGACTTAAGAGTGGTAGAGATTTTGGAATGTAGTGGAATTACAGCCTCCTTTAAGAGAAATGTTGATGCTGAAGACAGGCTTCAGAGCCATTAGCACATGGTTAGGAATGAGCTTGCTCAAATAGGGAGTAGTGAGAGATGAGAGCTATGAATATAATCCTGGGGATCAACAGTGTTTAATGGTTGGCCAAGGAGAAGCTAGGGAATGGCTGATAAGAGTCCACAGAAGCTGGTGGAGAAACAGGAAAAGGTGTGTCCACTGGAAACCAAGAGAGGGAATGTATCAAAAAATAGGGAAAGCAAAGCCTGAAGGACATGAGCATGCTAACTTAGAGTGGGCAATGACTAGTAACTTCACCAAGGTTAGTAATCAGCAGCTCAGAATGAGTGGGGAAGGGGGAGATAATGAACATAGATTGCTTTCTCAGGAACTGTGGTCCACCTGCTAGAGAAGCATGTCCTTTAATATTTATTACTGTGCAAAACCAGCTCCACCTCCTGCTTTGTCTGCTATTTATGTACTTTCTTGTCAGTAGTATCACCTTTGCCTGGTTGTTCAAGTGGAAAACCTTGGATTCTTCTTTGATGTCTCCCTTACCTTTCCTATTTCCTTCCCCTCATTTAAGTGGTAACCAGGGGCTCTTGATTTTGACTCAGGAGTGTCTGCTTCACCATTGCCTCTTTTGCCTCTGCATTCTTCTGCTGGAAGCTCTTTCCTTGATATTTCAGTACCCCTCTCTCTGTCTGTAGTTAATCTCTCAGCCTCAGTTTCTCCCTTTCCCCTCTAGTTGGTGTATAGCCCCATTTATTTCTCTAAAACATGGTTCCCATCTTCTCCCTCTGCTTCTTAAAACAATCTCAATTGCCTTCCCACTGGCTACTATAGATAGTACACTAATTAATTAAATAAATGAGTATTGGTACATGTACTAGGTACTGTGGGTACAGTGGCAGACAAAATAGACATGGGTCCTGCTGTTACCTAGCTTAATGGGAAATAAGACTTTTTATAAATTGGAGTCCAGCTCATCTTTCCAGATCATCCTCAGTTTTTATTCATATACTCCAGCCACTAATGGCTATTTCCTTTACTGCCAGCAAAATCCATATTATGAAATCAATGTTTTTTCACATGTAGTTTGCCCCTTAAAATGCTGCTCCTATATCCTTATCCCCTTTCTCAGGAGAGACTATTTGTACTCAGGTGATACTTTCTTCTAATTAGCCATTGCTTCTTAGTTCACCAGTAAAGCACCTGTACAGGCTCGAATTTAAAATATATTTTGTGGCTAACAATAATTTACACAACTGTTTCTCTTTTCTGCTATAACAGAGGTTTTTTGGCATGAACTCTTTAAAGAGTGATCTCTACATAGAATTGAAATTTAATTCTGTTAATTCTGTACTAACGTCTCTGGTGAATGACAATGTATGAAAGAGAGGCAAAAAGCAAAGTAAGCTCTAGAGAGACCTGTTAATGGCTTTTCATTGTGTCTCACAGAATATTTGGAATCTTGAATTTATGGTTGTATCTTCTTTCAATTCAGACTGATGATGAAGATGAGTCTTTTGTTCTTGAGGATCCTACATTTTTAAACATTGATACCATTGATTCTCACTCCTATGATACCTCATCTGTGGCAAGCTCTGACAGTGGTGACAGGACCAACTTAAAAAGGTATTCTTGTAAATCATACTTGCTAATGGTTAAAATATTTGGTTATTTAAAGTCAGTATCTTTATAGTACAATATGGTTTCTTGAAGCCCTGCATTAGAAATCCACTTGTGGGAATATGCTTATGAAAGCCTAAAGATTTGTCACTGTTAGGAGAAGAAATAAAGAGGTGGGCACTGAACTTCATGTGAAAAACCATAATAATAGCTAGGACTCCTAGTGAGAGTAGAGCTTTTGGACGGAACACATGCTTTTGTGGTGGGAAGATGGAGCTTGGTCCGCCTTGCCACCTTGTGTTCCCTGCATTTCCCACACTCACTCACTGATAGTGACCTGTATTTTTCCTTCTCTTAAATTTTGCCCATAGCAATGCTGTCTTCTTAGGCTGTCATCTTGGGATGGGGTATGTTCACCTCCTCTTCATAATGTCTTACAGACAGATAAATGTTTTTGATGATCTGATCACTCCCTCCTTAAAATATGGAATTGTCTTGTTGTCCATCAGGCCTGTCCAATCTTTTGGCAGTATCACAAGTTCATACTTGAGAACCTTGCAATTGAGTTTTAAGCAAAACAAAACAAAATTCTCTCCTCTCTCTCTCTCTCTCTCTCTCTCTCTCTCTCTCTCTCTCTCTCACACACACACACAGACACACACACACACATACAAGGCTTGCTATAGATACTCTACACAACAGCTTAAAATATGTGGGGAATAAGCCTCTCTCTCTCTCACACACACATACACACACACACACACACACATACATACACAGTTTAAATAAGTTCATGATTTTGTATTAAGCTGTGTTGGTAGCTCTCCTGGATATGACTGATACATAATAGTCAGAATTCCTTAGTGTGATGTCAGTCTGCATCCTTCTTACCATGCTGAGCCTCTCTCTGAGCACTTCCACTGTAGCCCACCCAGTCCATGCCTGTTTGTCCTCACTGTTCCCCAGTTATCCATCAAGGCCAAATTAGACATCTTCTCTTCTGATTACTGTGCTAGATATCCCCCAAATAAGCAGGATTAAATTATTCTTCATTTGCATTGCTATCCCTATTTTTAGTCCACCTTTTATTTTTATAGGAGTTGTCAGACCCTCCAACTAGGCTGTAGGATCCTTGATCCTAGGAACTGTGACTTACTCATTTTTGAATCATCAGAGCATACTTTTAGTCAGAGTGGGCACTGAATAATGTTTGGTGAAAGTTAAAACTTCCTTTTTGAATGATGAAGAGTATAGTGAGAGAAGCCTCTAGCAGGAACAACAGAGTGAGTGATGAATGGGGCACTCAGAAGGTAGTTGTTTGAAATGGGAAGGGTCATCATAGACAGGAAGACAGGCAGGGGCAAATAGAGGCAGTGCAGATCCATAGGGGGAGAAGTGGTCTTTGAACAGCTTCCTGGAGCACAGTAGAACCTTGCGCAGTATAAGGTGGGCTTGGAGTGGAAGAAGAATGGAAAGTTTACTCATTTTCCTGTTGGAGCTTCTCTGAAGTTCAGGGTGGGTTTAGAATACGTCTTAATGTTGGTCTGTTGGATTATACGTCTTTTAATAACAAATTGGAGTACTTTCTGCTTTTCAAAAATATATATCTTCTTCCTTCAAAGCATTGGGATCCTGCCTTTTCAACTTTTTTGTCTGTCAAATGCTCCCCCTGCCCCTGTTTCTTTCTCTTTCTCTTTCTTAGAAAAAAGAAGTTACCTGATTCTTTTTCACTACATGGATCAGTTATGCGACATTCACTTCTGAAGGGAATTTCTGCCCAGATAGTGTCTGCAGCTGTAAGTATTCTTCCTCCAGCTTTATAACTTGCAATGGCATAATGAAGTAGGAAGGAACATAAAACAATGTAAAGCTCTTCTCTTGGCTCAAGGCTTAAGAAAAACATAGCCTGGCTTGTGGACTGGTTTTTGTGATTATTTTTGACTCATAAGATATGGCTACACCTTGACACAGAAATTAGTGTAGCCATGAAAATAAAGATCTGTTCAGAGTCGTAGTGTGCCTAAATGGATTACAGTAGCAAGCCAGGAAGAAACACGATCTGCTTTTTCTCTACATTCCTTTTCAGGTTACTTGCTATCTTATGTGTTTGGTTGAAGTTAAGTGCTTATTTTATTTTTTAAGTCTTTTCATACAGAGATGATTGATCAAGATCTTTTACAATCAAATGATTTTTAAAAATAATTCACAAGTCTTTTCATGTAACTTGTTTCATTTATTTTTATAACTTTGAAAGAAAGTAAAGTCATATTCTGTTTTATAAATGAGAAGATACCTCAGAGACATGATACTAATTTGACTTAAATTGTTCCATTAGGTGGTAGAGCAATTATTTAAACTGTGGTTTTGGCTTTAAGTCTAGGGCCTCTTTGTTGTAAAAAGGTGGTAGTATTGGTCAATGTGGCTGGGACAGAAAATCTGTGACCTTTTTTGGAAAATGTTTCAGAGTACTGGGTTAATATGAAAAAAAATTTAGTAATATATTAAGACAATAGACACCTCACTCTTTGACATCAAAAGGCATGCTTTTATTTAGTCTTTTATTTCTAATTATCTGAATTTAGTAGGTTCGATGTATAATAAAGATGATGATGATGATGATGACGACAGTAGGGACTTTGATGTTTATGTTCCTTTCATAGAGTTTAATTAATATTTTGCATATTTAATTTGAACAAGAAATAAACGTTTGATTTTTTCCAAGAGAGTAAGAAGTAGATGCAGGAATGGTGTCCTGACACCACAGTTGTGTTTCCGTTTTATTAGAGAAAGCTCTTATTACAGATGGAGAAAACAATTCACTCTGGGCAGGTGGTATGTCCTGACCCAGCTTGGGTGTAGAACATCAGATACAATGTTAGAGAGTTGGTCAAGCCGTGGAGGAAAGCTGGGTAGTGTCCTTCCTCCTTTAGGTGGGGGGAGTAACTAATGTTTGCCAGAATGGGAACCACCTGTTAAGGATTACATTTCTATGACGTTTTCTGAATTTAATCCTTATGTAGGTGATGAAATTCATTCCTTTCAAAACTAAGATGAACCAGAACAGTCATTTGACCCACCTGTGCATTAAAAAAATATTTTGAATAATGGAGACCAAACTAAAACTCAGACACTGAACAATGATTAGATAAATCTGTTCTTTAGAAGGGGGTTTTCCTCCTCTTGGAGAGGAGGGGAAGGTTCTAATAAATCCCAGAGTGTCTGCATTCTGCTCTTATTCTATTGCTATGGCTGAGCTCCTTTGCAGTGTTCAGATGGAAACTGCTTTCCTGTGACAGTTGTCATGTGCTGCTGTGCTAATTTTTGATTACCAGCTCAACTGAAGTTGTGTGCTTTTCTGTGATGGTTGATTTATTAACATGTAAAGCTGTTATATTTTGGGGTATTTTTCCTAAGTAGTTGTTCAGTTGTGCCTTCATCCTCATGGGGAGTGATGTTATCAGGCCTTTTTGGATCTTGATCATCATGACTTTGGAGGCCAGGCATGAAAAACACCTAGGAAACATGAAATTTCTGAAATTGTAAGACTTATTTACAATTTTGTTTAATTTTGGAATCCTTCTCAAAGTAATGTGATTTATGAGTATGTTTAAAGTTAATTCAAAATAGCTTTTTAAGGATTTTTAATCATTTTAAGGATAAACCTTAAGATACTGTAGATGCCTGAGCATAGTGTTTCGTTGTTTTTAAAATACTTTATTATTTTAAGTGCATGTATGTATGTATGTGCACTCATGTCCTGTAATGCCCATAGAGGTCAGAAGAGGGCATCAGATCCTTTGGAACTGGAGTTAGGACAGTTGTTAGTTGCCATGTGGGTGCTGGGAATCAAACCTGGGTCCTCTGCAAGAGCAGCCACAGCTCTTAACTGCTGAGCCATCTCTCCAGCCCGTTTTGCTGTTTTTTAAAAAAACTTGTACATTACATTAGACTCTCCTGGGTGATCATTAAAATGCAGCTTCTTGGAAATCTTGAGTTAGAGTCAGTAGTGGTGCAGCATTGGGATTCTGCAGTCTAACCAGAAGATAATGGTAATAGAGTTTGGCTCTTGAGAACCACTATCCTAGCATGGTGCAGCATTATTACTTACATTCTGTAATTTAATTTATTTATTCATTTCTTCCCTC